TTTGCAACTTAGTCATCTTCAGATGCATAGCATCTTAATTAACGAATCTTAATATATATAATTGTTGAGATGTTAATAACTATTTTAATGTGACACGCTAATACATATATTACTATTCTATTTTTAGTAACCATTTATACTCGCCGGATAACCCAACTCATAAGATAATGATATAATTCTTCTCTGTTACCTTTCAAAGTACAACTCGAAATGACTTATTGTCCCTTCCAGTGACCATGGCAAAATATGGAGTATTCAGTTTCTTGTCACCCACCTCTCAGTCCTTACTCGCTTAACTTAACTGTCAAGATACATCCAATATGATATATCTCATTCAGTCAAATAAAATCCATTCATCACCACATGTCATACCACATTCATCATCTCAAACTCAAATAATTCATACATTAACAACATAAGGACCATCACCCAGCCTCTTGATAACTCACTGTATAAACATGTACGCATCAAGTATCACATCATATCGGCATTACCATTTAACTCTGTCCCAACATAGCGAAACATCACACCATCTAATGGTAAATCATTGTCTAAAACACCATAGAAAACCATCACATAACCATCATCATCGACATGCACATTTCATATATCACATCATAGGAAGTCATCACTTAACCACATCATAAGTAATCTTTACACAAGAATTCAATCACATGCATGGTTAGGTTGATTCAGTGCTTTTTACTTCTTAATTTGTCATACACTCCCCGGATAGTACATTAGATGTAATGTACACCACCGTGGATCGTACCTAGAGTGGTGTCCTGTAAATCCACTACGGGATCATACTCCGACCGATATCATGTATAACAGTGCGGAACATACACGAACAAGTGTCCTATAAAACCAACGCATGATCATACCCTAACCAATGTCCTGTAAATTCATCTATTGTACTAATTGCACAACATGGCGCCTTTATGTTTGTATTAAGTTATCACACAATTCCAATTACAACCAGTCACACATTTAATATTGGATGATAATGTGAAGCGAAGAAAAAGTGTCTCTATAACTAACATTTCGATTTGATATCATTCATAAAATGTTGAAGGTAATATAGAAGCATAGCAAGTTTGGTTGTACTTTAATATAATGGTAGAAAAGGCTAGCGTACAATCGAGGTGTAATATACACCTTCGTTCACACCTATTAGTTGTTCTTTAATATATTTTGACAAATAATAATCCTTGGTTATTATTTTTCTATTAAATGAATCTTACGATTTGGATTGAGAATTAGAGAATGGGGTTCGCCCATTAGAGACTATGGTATAGTATCATGTCCCAAACTCCGTTAATTAATGGTCTAAATAGCAAAACTCGAAATGAGTACAATAAGGTGGCGTACGCTAGCTTAAACCATGTACAACTTATGAAGTTGAAAATTGCAGGTCAATCAAAGTTTAGACGGTATGAATACTATTTTCCAAGTAGTGATGAAGTTACAACGTTGTTTGACATTATTGTTGATCGTGATTAAAACCTTGATTAAATGTAGCGCCCCTCATATCTTTTTTTTATTCAAAACTCCCTTCATATATGATGAAACACGGAAAATAGATTACAATAATAAATAAATATGGAAACTAGGAGTCCGATACCTTTAAAAATGACATATAATAGAAGTAAAGGTACAAACAAATGTAACTCGCCGCCCATCGGGCGGGCACAAAACTAGTATAAAAACTTGCGGTTTGCTGGATTTTGATCGAGAGAGGTAAATGTTATTGGCATATTTATAGTGAGTCATGAGCGTGGGAGTGAATGTATGACTGAGAGTGCAAAAAAGGAAAGAAGGAAAGGAAAAGAGGTAAATGTTATTAGCATATTTATAGTGAGTCATGAGGGTGGAAGTGAATGTATGACTGAGGGTGCAAAAAAGGAAAAAAGGAAAGGAAAAGAGGTAAATGTTATTAGCATATTTATAGTGATCATGAGCGTGGGAGTGAATGTATGAGCGAGGGTGCAAAAAAGGAAAGAAGGAAAGGAAAAGACAGCAATCATTGATCATATTATTAGTGTCCACCCTAGCCCGATTAATACGAGGCATTTTGGGGAGGACACACAAGAGTAAAACCGTGCGGATTTGGCCCAAGAAAGAAAATATCGTACTATTTGAGCAACCCGATTATGACACCTTTTTTATCCATCTCCATGACTCCATGGATGGATGGATAGGTCTTCTTTGAAAACATATTAATTATTAATGCAAACTTTTAATTTGTTTCTATCCCTTTCCCCATTTTGATTATCTCTCTAGAAATAAAATCCAACATTGAAAATAAGAAATCAAGAAAGTATGTCAACCACCATAAAAATAAACAAAGCCCTCTTATTAGTTGCTAAATTTTTTTGAGATTTCTAATATTTGTATTCTCATAATTTATAGAGAAGGAAATGGTAATGCATACGATTTTTTTTCTTTGTATGAGAATAGGAGGCAGGAGTTACACGAGACAACCATAAGATGATAAAATTTTGAGTCGTTGTAACATATTTTTGCCTGTTGACGAAAAAAGTTAATCTGATCATTGTGAAGATGAGTTGAATCAAGCCGAGGGTTGTCGACTGCTCCCTCTTCCTCCTTGATCTGAAGCTGGTAACTGGTCTCACTTTCTCAGCGATATGTTATTGTTTGCGGTTGACTGGCGGAGTTATACTCTTTTTCCCATTTTTTCCTTAATTTCTTCCAAATTATGACTGTTGGATGGTAAATTTTCCCACTCTCGATGAGTGAATATATTTCTTCTTTGTTTTTTACTGAGAAGGGTCGCCATATACTTTCATGTATATAAAATATAATTAGAAGGGTTAATTGGTTGGACTTAGGGCATACCTAATACCTCCTTTGGTTGAATAATTGATCATTTTTCTTGAATGCCTATTGCAACCCGATTTCTTGAATGTTGAAATGGAAAGTAGAGATGTGATGATTGTTTATTATATTTTATGTTCATTATTGACATGCTACTACTAGCTAGCTATACAATGATGATCTGGTAAGTAATTAGTAGGTAGCAAAGGGGTTATAAGTAGAAGGGAACATAATTGAGGTTTTATAAAGGTCGCGAAGAAGAAAGAAAATGATAATGGTGGTTTCTCGGTTGTCTATTTTGATGTTTTTTTAATTTCTACATGTTTGCAGTGACATTTGTTTGTTTCATTAAGGTGAATTTTTCTGCATTGAATCTCTAACTAAAGATTGATTTTGACATGATTGTTTTCTTACAAACTACTATTTGGATTGATGCATATATTCAGTTCACAAAAGAGGAATCTGAATGATAAAATGAGATGAGTTGTATTGAAGACTACTACCTTCATTATTTGTCTATGTTGTTATTAGGTAATAAAGCACAATTTTTTTCTGCAGGAGATATGTAGCTCTCTACAAAATATAAATTGTGTTTAATTATATGTAGTTTAATTTGGTGAAAATATTGCTTTAATAAGGTAGTGACAGCTGGTAGTTTTGTTTGTGGTTGGTTTTGCTAGAACATTTCTAGGTAATTAAACAAGTACGTGGAAGATTAATGGACGTGGATGTTAATGGGTTTCCTCATTATTCCAAAATTGTATGTGTAAGTGATAATACACGATATTCATGGGATTTAGATCAGAATATTCTCTATTATCATATACCGACATATGAGAAGAGAGAGAAAATAAAAAGCTCTTCGCTTATTTTTTTTATTAATTGAAGCATATTTTCTTATTCTAACTTCTTCTTTTGTGGCCGTAAGTTTTTTAACTTTTTTATCACAATTCTGTGCTAAAGAATGAATAATCTCTTATGTTTATAATCTTAAAGGGCGAGTTCGATAAAAAAAATTCTAAATCAATAAAGAAACGTCTACAAAGAGCTCAGTTAATAAAATTAAAATGTTCATAAATAAACAAAAGGTATACAAGTTTGAAATAATACCTTAAATAAGGTAAGTGAGATTTACAATTCCATGTATATTACCTTAGCAAACATAAATAATAATAACAATTAGAATACTATAATGAATTATAAAACAACCAAACAAAATACACCGCCAACGGGCGGGTAAAAAACTAGTTAGTATAAGGGAAAATACAATATAATAGCCAAACCTTTCATTTTAAACAATATAATAGCCAAACCTTTTCGAAAAAATTTAATAGCCAAACTGTCAACTTTTCGTCCGATCAACCGTTAGGTGACTTTGACGTGGTCAGTTATTGTACACGTCAAATAATTTATTTTTCATTTTTTAAATTTTAATTTATTAGTTAATTTCCTAAAATGAACAAAAGGGTGGTGTTCCCCTCTCGGTCGCCTTCTAGACTCTTCCATTCTCTGCTCTGCACCTATAGGCTGCAACATCAATGGTTTCCATTGGCGGTGAGCGGAGCCAACGAGCTGATTTGGCTATTAAATTGTTTTCGAAAAGGTTTGGCTATTATATTGTTTAAAATGAAAAGTTTAGCTATTATATTGTATTTACCCTTAGTATAAATAAGAATAAACTATTTTGCATGTAAATATGGGGTGTGGGTCATTCGGTTGATCCGCAACCCACTCGATAAATGCGGGTAGAAGATTTATTGATTCACAATTCACTCACATTAATCACCCATCCACTACAATTTGGATTACTTGCAGGTGGGTGGGTGTCAAGCCGCGGATTATCCGTCCACGTGTGCACAGTTATATTAATAAGCAGGAATAAAATCTTAACTATACGCTGTGCCTCTGTGGATAACAAACTATACGCTACGCTCTGCCTCGGTAGATAACAAGTGGATTATGCTTATGTATTAAATCTATCCGCTAAATCTGATTTATCTGTTCCGGAAATTATAAAAGTGATCTCGTTTATCCAAATAACAACCTCCCACTTCAACCAAAATTTAGATTATCTGGGGAAAGAATGGGATACGATAATATATATATACACTCATTTTACTCCCCCTGGAATGCTTAACTTTGTTTATTCTTTTCCGAGTATCCAAAAAAATGGTGGCTGTCAAAGCTATTCTTTTCTTTTCGATATTGCTCTTAAGTTTTGCTCTCTTGTCTCATGCTGATACAAGTAGCATCACAGTCACGGTGAAATCAGTGACCACCATAGCTAATACCGACAACGACTTCATTTGCGCAACTCTGGACTGGTGGCCAAAGGACAAGTGCGATTATGGACAGTGTCCATGGGGGATGACCGGCATTCTCAATCTGGTATACACATATATGGTTATAGATTTCCTTTTTATTCTCTTATTGGGTCATATCTTTAGTCGATTTTGTCCGCAATGATTAATGGGTTTTTGAGTTGACCACTTTTAGGATCTAAACAACCCCAATTTGGCAAAAGCAGTCAAGGGTAAGTTCTGGGTTCGTGAAAGTTGTGAAACTTTGGTCACTTTACTTCCAAATTGGGATTTCATTCGAAGCTGTTTGATGAAATGCCTCACAGAGGAAATATTAAAAACAACACTGCTTTTACGTTGCAGCTTTTGATCCGTTGAGGATCAGAGTCGGAGGTTCGTTGGAAGATCAGGTGGTGTACCAAGTTGGGCATGCAATCAAGAAGTTCCCCAGATTTAAGAAGCGGAAGGATGGACTGTTTGGGTTTAGCAGAGGGTCTCTGTCCATGAAAAGATGGGACCAGCTCAACAAGTTCTTCAGTGAAACCAAGTAAAAACAACAAAAACAAAAACTCCCTTCCCTCCAAATTACGTACCTTGGTGTTTCTTTATTCATTTGATTCTGGGTATTGCAGTACTAAAGTCATTTTCGGGTTGAACGCGCTCTTCGGCAAGAAGAATAAGGAGCCAACCACGATCCTTTGGGTTGGAGATTGGAACCCACATAACGCTCGTGATTTTATGAACTACACTGCTCAAATGGGATACAAGATCGATTCCTACGAATTCGGTACGTATCTATTTCACGAAAACGTACAAAAGGGGGATACGAGAAGTCGAGATCGATTTCTAAGACTTGATTACTACGTACTTAAAATTAGATGGTAACGTTTTTTTTTTAATGGTTCATTTTGTGCAGGGAATGAGCTGTGTGGTTCAGGGGTATCTGCTAGGGTTGAAGCAGAGCAGTATGCTAGAGATACTATACAAGTGAGGAAAGCTGTGAATGAATTGTACCCAGATCCCAATTCCAGGCCCAAAGTGTTGGGGCCAGCCGGCTTCTTTGATGAAGAATGGTTCAAGAAGTACCTTGAGGCTGTTGGGCCCAATGTTGTTGATGGTGTCACCCACCACATCTACAATCTCGGTGCAGGTACTAGCATGCGCATGTTCATAAATTGTTGTTGTCTTGTGGAGAACCTCTTCTTATCCAATGTTTACTGTTGTTTTTTTTAGGTGTTGATCCAAACCTGATACACAAGGTTCAGGACCCATACTTCCTAGACGAAGTAGCACAGACATTCAAGGACGTTCAGGATGTAGTGGACCGGTCCGGCACAGGGGCAGCTGCCTGGGTCGGCGAATCCGGCGGCGCATTCAACAGCGGCGGCAGAGATGTCTCCCACACCTTTGCCAACGGATTCTGGTACCTGGATCAGCTTGGAATGGCCTCCACTTTCAGCCACAAGGCCTACTGCAGGCAATCCCTCGTTGGCGGAAACTATGGCCTCCTCAACAGCAACACATTCACCCCGAACCCCGATTACTACGGGTATCATCGCGTCTTCGAACTGATTCAATTCAATCAATCCACTTATTCCAAATTAAACGCATACATTCTTATGTGGTTTTGGATCAGTGCACTTTTGTGGCATCGATTGATGGGGACCGGAGTATTGGCAACTACCCACGACGGATCTCCATACCTGAGATCTTACACCCATTGTACTAAGAACCAGGTGGTAGTGAATCATTCACTGTTTACACGTTTCAGGATTTGTTTCTAGTGGTGATCATCACATCCTGACAGGAAAATGTCTATCTCTTGTGCAGACTGGGGTTACGTTGCTTCTCATCAACATGGACAACTCCACAACCTTCAATGTCTGGGTTTCCAATGATCTGAACCTCTACAACGAAAACTCCGACTCCAGCTCTCTGACAGAGGACAGAGAAGAGTATCATTTGACACCCCAAGGAGGGAACATTCAGAGTGATGTGGTCTTACTCAACGGAACTCCATTGAAGCTCACTGACTGTGGCGACATTCCAAACCTCCCTCCTAAGTACGTCCCAGCTTCGTCTCCGGTTACTGTGGCGCCCGACTCGTTTGTTTTCGTCAGGATTAAGGATTTCAAGGCCCCTGCCTGCCAAAACAGATAGAACAGGACTAACCCTACTTAATTGGGTCTTTCTTTACTCTGTGGGTTTGTTAGTTTTCTGCCTTTACATTGATTTCTTGTACTACTTTAGGTTCTTGGAAGAACCCTTCGGCCACGTTAGAATCCATTGTAATTCAATTCATCAATTGTTAGATTCTATTCTTTGAAGACCAACTGACTCTGCCATAAAAAAAAAATCCTTAGCTTTCCGGAAAAGGATACCAGGCTTTTGCCTCTTGTCGTTCAAAGGGTATAACTTTCCGCAGAGATGGCTGGAGAAACGGCCAAGCTTGTAAAAGGAGGCAGAGAAATGCTTTCCTTAAGAATGAAGGTTTGTGTTATTCAAATGAAGGTATGATAAGCATGCTCTATATGCCAGCAAGCAATGTTGTCAGGCTTCACCTTCAAAATAACACAGCCATCTGATCTGAGGGGCAAGTTTTCAGTTTAAATCTAAGAGCACATCTCTTCCAGAAATGGACTACTTGATCAGGAAAACCAAGGGAAGGGTTTCTGGACAAACAAAACCTGCAACAGGGGGAGAGGCCAGCAGTTCCACAGAAAGAAGAATCCCAGTACACAAGACCGAGTCAGGTTTGTCTGTCCTCTGTAATTTCATTTATGGAAAAGCTTAATCATAACATACCGTGGCGTAGCCAGAAATTCATCAAAGGTAGCTCAAATATGGGAAAACACAAGTTTTGGAATGTGTTCATGTTCTAAAAAATTTCTAAGATACATCCATCGTGCAAATTATGAGAGATGTTGAGATACCACAGCGAGAAATCGTTCATGATTACACAACTCATCTTATTCTGAAGTGTTTCTTCAATTTGTTTACCCCAGAAGTGCTCTTTCAACAATTGCAATGACAACTGATAACAACAAACATCTCTAAGTTTCGAGCATTTGTTTATATTAAACTTAATTATAGAATATATGAATTGAAAGTTAAATATAGATCATAAAATATTAATTTCTAATAAAAATTATCTACAATAATATGAAGATATTATATTCAATTCACAATCAAATAAAAAATTTACTCTATATTTTATGGTCAAGGTGGTGCAAATGATCCACCTTGGCTTCAAGTGGCTCCGCCAGTGATAACATAAAGCAAACATTGGTGTCAATGTACTCAAAATCACACCTAAATTTGTAAGAACCTATGCTTTTACAATTTTAGATCATTAAACTTGTTAAACCCTACGTAAAATCATTTAGTGAAACTCGTTGCTCAAAGCGGTCAAATCATATAAAACATACTTTTCGAGGCATTTCTACGCATTTTCGTTCAAAGGCTAGATGGTTGAAAATTCAGCCAAAAAGGCGCCATATTGCAATTGTAAAATTCAATAATTCATCCAAAACATGACGACGATGAGGTGGTGGTGATGAAGAAGATTTGAATGCAAATATTGATATTAATGTATTAATCTAGTTTCATTTCTATTATTTATAATATTTTATATGCTTTGATTTTGAGAATCCAAATATTGAATTTAATGACTTTTTGGTCCGTGCTTAGTGGTGGTTTCTTTCAATAAAATTTCATTCACTCATTTAACAATTTAATTGAAATCAAATTATTTACTACATAGTTCTAGTAAACACTTCCATAACCTTTACGCAATATCCTAACTATTACAGAAGACTTACGTAACACGCTTGTTTGATTGAAAACTAAGAAATAATTATCCTTTCAACGTTCATAAGTTTTTCATAAAGTATTTAATAATTGTTATAGAACGGTGTTGTGTAATCTTCCGTAATATGTAGTCTAATTAATAAGGGCTAATACCACTGGGAAACCCGAACTATTAACTTCGTGTCATTTGTGTCCTAAAGTATTCGATATGACATTTGTATCCTAAACTATTTTTCCGTTAGAGTTGACTAGCGTTGACCGTTAGTTTTTAACCAAAAGTCTAGTCAGGGCTTATGTGGCATCTGATGTGGAACTTTTATTATTAATTTATAATTATTTTTCATATAAAAAAAATTACAAAAATAAAAAACAAAAATGATTTGTGGATTATTTTTTGGGACACAATTAATCCTTCTCTTCCTCGATTAATCATTCTCTTCTTCAATCCCAAGCTGGATTAACCCACCTCTTCCTCCAGCGACAAGAAGCTCGATACCGGCGGCGTGCTGCTCCTTGAAATGGACGAGCTCGTCGAGGCGGAACTGCGAGGAAGCGAATTCGCGGCTGAGGAATGGCCACCGCATCCCCTCTAGGTTGGCTTTCCATGCCCCCAGCAATGGCCGCCGCTTCCCCTCTCCAAAACAGATCCGTCGCCCAAATCCTCAAGGGCTTCTCGCACCCTCCCTCCCTCTCGAGTTTGGTTATGGGCCGAGTTGGGTTCATGGGTTGGTTGGGTGTGTGACATGGTAGGTTTAGTGACGTGGTGGGTCGGGTTTGACCATTTTTTGCCCAAAATATATTTGTTGAATGGAAAACAAAATATGTTTGGTTAATTACTACATAAGAGAATATTATTCCTTCGTAAATTTTAAGTATTGTTTTAGTCATTACTGAAGACTTATTTTGTACGCTTTGTTTAATTGACCCCTTGTAAGTTGTAAGGGCAGGATATAGGGTCAGTAACCAAGTGGTTACTGACATGTCAGTAATAAATAGGGACCGTAGATCTAGGAGGCAGGCAATCATTTGGTTGGGCCGGACGCTGAGTTGGAAAGGGTATTTTTGTCCGTTTATACATTAAATTCTTTATTTGATTTTATTTCGTATTTATTGGCTGCATTTTCAAAGAAGGAAAGAGAAATTATCACTTCTCTGCAACTCTCATTTATCTTTCTCTCCCAATCTCTTTTCTAGATCCTCTCTCTTCCTTCTCTCTTCCTTTTTCTCTTTCAATCTCATTTCTAGATCTAAATCTGTTACCTTCTCTTCTTTTTTTTTCCCCTCTAGGATGAATATAAATTGCAACCACTCACTTTCATTGCATTTCTTCTCTTCATCATCTCGTTGGCCTCAATTTCGATCTTTCTCATTTTTCGGCATTTTGGTGTTCTTAATTGCGGAAGAGGAAATGAGAGGCGGCAGAAGACAAAAAAATTTTCTCTACCTCCTTGTGTTTTTTTTTCTTTTAGATAATATATTTTGATATTATAACTCTATATCATATGGTATTCGGTGGTAACGAAATATATATTGATATTACCACACTATACCATATGGTAATGTATGGTATTGTGTGGTAACGAATTATATATTGATATTACCACACTATACCATATGATATTGTACGGTATTGTGTGATATTACCACACTATACCATTTGGTATTATGTGGTAACGAAATATTTACTGATATTAGCACACTATATCATATGGTATTGGGTGGTAACGAAATATATATTGATATTACCACACTATACCATATGGTATTGGGTGGGAACGTAATATATATTGATGTGACAAATTTTTTCATACCATATAGTATGGTCTTATTTAATACCAGTCAATACGATATGGTATAGACTGGTAATAACTGACGAATTTTTTTATGTCCAAAAACTATCAAAGTGGATATCATTTTGAAGAGCACAATTAATCTGATCTAACTATGCAAAAAAATTAAATTCCGACTTAAAAAGAGTGAGAAATCGTCCGTTAAAGATTAAGGAAGGAAAATTAAAGGTTTTTTGAGCAGAGAGAAGGAGGCGCTGATGTGGTCCGATCAAAAGTCACCGTTAGCAATAAATAGGGGTAGGTGCAATTTTATCTTACTGCCCTTTCGCATTTAATTTAAATAAAAAAAGGGACTGACACGTGTGGACAAGGGAAGGGGTTACTGATGGGTTACTGACCCATCAGTTACTGACCTGCTGGTCCCTTATAAGATTTATATAATTGTTGTAGAATGATGTTACGAAAATATGCTATAGTTTGTTTATCTGTTGGATTGGGGAAAAAATACATAAACAACTACTTGTAGAGAATATTGATTTTAAATTGGATTTTATATATATAATTTATGAGTTACGATTTTTGTTATTGTGGAACTTTACCTTGTATTATATATTGTGAACTTATTGTTTGTCTTGAGATTTGCCCAACTATAACAGTTCGCCAAATTAGATTATATAAACGAGTAGTGACCTCTTAAATGTGATAAAGTAAATTATTTGAAGTCTTATAAGAGGAGGGTTATTACAAAATAAATTTAAAACTTCATTTTTTTGTGCTACACTTTTTCATGTGTTTCTGCTTGTACATAGAAGGTTGTTTTTGACTACATTTGATTGGTGGACTATTACAGAGAAGTCGAGGATATGGTTCGGTAGACAGTTCTCAAGGCAACCTGATCGAGATTCTGATTCAATGGCGATTGACCAAGCAGCTGCTGTCGCTGCTGCTGCATTTGCCATTGTTGCGTCAAAAAGGCAAAGCTTCTCGGAACCTAACAGGGAAATGTTGGAGGAAGCTCCACATCAATCTTCTCCGATACGAACTGAGAGCAAAAGACTTGGTATTACTAGTTTCCAAAATCTCATAAACTAATAATATATTACTAGATGCTTTGATTTCGTTTTCTTCGAGGCAAACTAATCAATCAGCTGGTTCAAATCAGGCTCTGTATCAATAAGGGATTTGGAAGGAACAACATACAACAACACTGATGAAAACCGAGATACAAAGGTTGTTGGTCCTGTCTCATCAATGAAAAGGACACCAACATTTGCTGATAAGCCTGCTTCATCAATGAAGAAAGCTCCAAGATTTTCTGAAAACCCTGTTTCGTCAATGAAAAGGGCACCATCATTCATGGAGAAACCTGTTCTATCCATGGATGGTAAGAGGAAGGACAAAATCGATGAATCACAAGTTGAACAGCCCTCCAAAAGACCTGAAATTTCCATGGCAAAACCCGATGGAACTATTAACCCTGCAATCCCACCTTCTAAGCCTTCCAAAAGGACTGGGAATGTTGGAGAGTCAGCAGCAGATGCCTGGGAGAGGGTTGAATTGGAGAAGCTGAAAGACAAGTATGGAAAAAGGAGTGTCCAATTTTTAGATGCTTTACTTCCCATCAATTTGTCCTTTCCCTGATAAAGCCAGTACATGTCGCAGGTATGAGAAGGAAGAAGAACAGATTGTCTCCTGGGAGAGTGAAAAGAAAGAAAAAGCTAAACATCGACTTGACAAAACTGAGGTTTTCTTGCTTCGCTACCTTTTTGCTTGTTTTCTTCAGCCAAAGATAAGTTGTAGGGTTAGGAAATAACACACAGTTGTTTGGATTTCTTACAGAGTGAACCTGAGAGGACAAGGTTGAAAGCATTGGAAAGGTTTCAAAGTGACATGGACACTGTCACTCAGATTGCAGAAGCAGCCAGAGCAAAGATAGCTAGGAAGCAGAAGAAGGAAGAGTTGAGAGTGAAAAAGAAAGCAGACATATGTAGAAGCACAGGCCAAATTCCAAGAAGTACATGTTTCTGCTTCTGAGTGTCAGCCGTTACATGGCGCTTTGTTGGGTTGAGGTTGAATTAATATGCGTAAATAAAGTCTAAATAAACACTTATTTCATGGTTGTATATACATATATCGATAGATTGAATCTTTGTAAGACTATGTTCTTTGTGTTGAACAATATTGATAAAGAAGCAAAAAATCCATTACAAGAAGAATGATGATAAAGGTTAATGTTTGCTGCCAAAATAGGAAAATTTAAATCAAAGTCGGTGTAAGCAGCACCAGCCATCAACTACACAAAATAGATCCTTGCAAGTATATAACATCCGCAGTCTCGGTTTCTTGACTACAAAAGATAAATCATAATATAACTTCAGAAATTCTCACTTACACAAAAATGTGAATCGCTAGATTCACGAAACATTTCAAGAGAAGCAAAAGTATATTAAACAATGACCATCAATCAATATATCAAAATTAAAACACCAAAAACATCAAGCACTTCTACTATGCTATATAGCATTGGTGCTTTAATGTACAACTAAAAGTTGTACCATAACTAGGGCTGCAAATGCGCCAAGCCGCTCGCGAGTAACTGGCGTTCGAATTGGAAAAAACTTGTTCGACACCCGGCTCGTTATTTAACAAGCTGGCTCGCGAGCCGACTCGTTAGTAAACGAGCCAAGCTTGAGCTAGACCATGCTAAGCTTGATAAGCTCGTGAGCTAGCTTGACTCGGTGGATTGTTGAGTTAAGCTCAAGAGCTGGCTTGTTTAGAGCTTGTAGAAGGATTAATTATTCTTATGAACATGAACTTAATCTTGTTAATCCGTATATGTATGAAAGTTAGCTGTTCTTTTTAGTTTATAGTGCTCTTTTTATCATTTAAATTATTATTTGTACACATTTTTCAGCAAGAATGATTTCAAATCGAGCTCATCTTGAGCTAAGCTTGTACTCAGCTTGACAAGTTGTGTTAATGAGCATTTATCGAGCTCTACCGAGTCGAGCTCGAGCTGAATCATTTTTAATCGAACCGAGCTGGATTATCAAGATTCGAGTTCGAGCCAAGCTCGAGCTGAAATATTTATAAACGAGCCGAGCTCAAGCTAAGCAAAAACTCGACTCGTCTCGTTTGCAGCCCTAACCATAACATAAAATGTATAAGTTTAGGTTGTACCATAAAGTAATTTGTACTATTATGTTATGGTACAACTTTACAACTTGAAGTTGTACCATCACATAAAGGTACAAGTTCAAGTTGTACCATAAAAGAATTTGCACAAAAAGTATGGGTACAATTTAAAGTTGTACCATAAAAGCAAAACCCTATAACATCAATACTATATAGCATTGTAAAATTTCTAAAAACTATCATGAAACTATCTCTAATATAAGCTTAGCCAAAGTAGGATGAGCAAAATACAACACCAAGTAAGACGGTATCGCAAAAACAAGAGTGACAATAAAGTAGTGAATCAAGATCGTCAAACAACATGTGCAAGGAGAAAAATTGATCCTGCCTCCCCACATTATTGCCACCATCTCTATCAGTATGGCAGTGGCGGACTCAGGATTGTCGGAGAGTTGTGTCGTCGATAAAATAAGATAATAATTAAAAAATTATTAAAATTTTTAATAGAAATTATTAGAAATTAATTCATAAAATTCACAATGTCATGTTTACAACGAACCACGATGACTTTTCATGTCCTAAAATGTCTGTAAAAGTCATCCATCGCTTATGTTGCGAAGCAAACTCTTTTCGATATACACAACTAAACAATTATTCATAAATTGGTCACTCAACCTATTTCGAAGTTCATTCTTGATTATCTTCATAGCTGAAAATCTTCTTTCGCGGCTTGCAATTGCAACAGGTAAAGTAAACACCAACTTCAAGAGCAAGTAAAACTAAAGGATAAAAGAAAAGCGGATGTGACAGTGGGTATCTGTAGTTAGAAACTAAAACGGGTAAGGGTGATTTTTTATTTCATTTGTTATTTTCAATGAAGGAACGGTCAAGGGGTGGAAACAATGAGTTTCAAAGGATGAGATTATGTTTATTTTTTTCATTGTTGGGTTGTGGTGTGGAATACTTTAAAACAAGCATACTTATTTGATTGTACTTATGATTGTTTATTACTAATTAAAATAAATAGCTTTATAACAAATAAAATCAATCTCATATAATGAAGTGTGTCGCTCACAATTATTTGAGATGTGTCGGAACTCGTGAATTAAAAAATTTGTACTAAAAATATATAGGTCCTTCACAAACCCTTTATTAGGTCCGCCCCTGACCATGGGCATGCACTCCATAGTCCAACCATTGATTTTTCTCAGTCCTCTGACGAGTTCATTACTCGAAGACCAAACAGGCTGATCAGCCAAAGTAGAAGAGTACGTGATGACGTTCAATTTATAGTGTTTATCACTCTCATATTTGATATATTTTCCCCTTCTATCATCATTAGTATTTTTTTATTATATTTCATATTAATATCGTAACTATTTCATATTTTAGGTTAAGATAAAACTTGAGTGTGTTTTTCTACTATTTTACGCCTTTTGGGGTGTTTTGCGCTTTTCAACGATATAACGCACTCAAGACGAATATGGATCACAAAGGGACCTAGTGGATCAGAAGGAGGACGATAATAGAGCTTGTGGGCTCAAACTAATATGGATTTGTACGTCAGATGCACACTTTATCACTACAAGAAAAAAGGCTTTTTGCAACCAATATGATTGGTCCCTAAAAGTCTAAAATTGGTTATTAATCCTCTTTCACAACCAAAATATTTTGGTAGCATAATTGGTCACTATAACCGCATTACGAATACCTAATGCAACCCACATAGTGATTGGTAGCTTGAAAATCAAGCTATCGCAACCAATTTTGCCAAAGGAAAAACCCTTGATTTTTTGCAACCGTTTAAAATTTGATTGTCATAGTCCAAACTAATAGTTAGAAAATGTAGGTGATTTGTCGCCATAAACACAAATGACAACCAATTTATGTAACCAATAATATCATTATGACAATCAATTTTTTTGGTTATAAAAGTTTAGCGCAACTATGAAACTTGGTCGTGAAAAATATATATGCCAGCCGACCATATCATTTTAGCCGACTAACTAAATTTGTAATAAAATTTTTACACAACCATTAAAATTGATCGTGAAAACACAAACCTTAACCAATTAAAGCACTTTGGTGACCAATAGTTTTAGTTATGAAAGTTTAATGTAACCTCAAAAATTGTTCGCAAAAAATACATATGCCGACCAATCATGTTACTTTAGGTAACTAATTTCAATAGTTATAACAGTTTAACACAGCCATAATTATTGGTCGTAAAATATAGGCAAAATACACTTGGTTAGTCAAAACTTTGACGGTTTGGCCAAATTTAGCCACTTTTGGCGAAATACCAAAAATAGCCACTTCCGTCCAATTCTTTCACGGCGTGAGTTAACATGCTGACTAGACTAACGGATCGTCCAATCAGACAATTTTTATTTCATGCATATTTTCCACGTGGATTTAATTAAAAAATAATAAAAAAGAAAATAATTAAAAGTTAAAATTACAAATGGCTGAGTCTTTGATTTGTGGAAAATAAAAAAATACATTTAGAAATTATCTCGTCGGCCACAAAAATCCCCAATCTCAACTTACTCCCCTCTCTCTTCCTTCGTTCACGAAACCCTTTCTCTCTCCCTAGAATCACCATCGTCGAAGGATCAAGACCAAGTCTAGTAAGAAGAATTTGAATCGGAGGTCTCTTGGATAAAGAAAACCGCAATGGTTTGTACCCATGAATATCACTGAATCTGGACTTCTCTCCGTATGCATTCAATTGAAACGCGATTGGTTCGGTCTAGGGATGCAGGGCCAGCGACGCAAGATGAGAGTGGTCGTGCAGCTGCATCTTGGAAGAGAGACCGCGTAAATCGACGGAAGAGGAAGAAGGTTTCGAACTCCTTTCATTGTGCTCTTTACTCGCTGGTAAGTTATGGGTAAGCAGATTTCCAAGTGAGGGTTTATCTTCTTGCCCTGACCAGTTGCTGAAAACGCTGACGATGGTGTGAGAGGAGAAAAGACAGCAGCATCGAGAAATTCATGAGGGGAAGCTTGAAAAATTCCCTCTGTACTGATCTGCAATCCGTCTCTCCATCTATCCATCTCCGGCTGTAAATGAATCCGTCTCTGCCACCGATTTAGAATCACCATCGTTGCCTTCTCGATTTGGTTCTTTAGGGATTTGAGGTTTTCTATTGCACCAACACTCTGTAACAGTCGCCGCCGTCCTTCAGCTCGTTCTCGAGTATACTCCCAATGTCGAGGCCAAAGTAGCAGAGGAGATGGGATGGGAAAAGGAGCTAAAGAGAGACGAAGAGGGAAATCACAAAAGTTATTGAGGGGGCGGCGGAGACGGCGGATCTGGACGAGGAAGGCTTGATGGCGGCAGAAGATGTAGGGGAAGAGCTGGTTTTTGGCTATGGCATTCTGGGTTTCTCAATGGAGGTTTTGGCTATGGTTGTTCTGCTTGTGGCTTTTGGCTTTTGGAGGTCTATGGAATCAGAGAGGGTGAGAGAGAGATGATTGGAGAGAGAGAGAGGATGGAGAAAATAATCAAAAGAGTTAGGATAATTAAGGGGAAAAAAAATTATTTCAAAAATTATTTTTTTTATAATTCAAAATGACATGTCAATCATATGATGACCTGTCGCTGACGTGTGTGGTGATTTGGCATCCCAATCAGTTTAAAGTTAACGCAACAGACAGTGTCACTGACACCGTTAAAATATGTAACGGAATTGGCTATATTGGTCATGAAACTTTTAAAATTATGGCTATATTTGGTATTTCGCCAAAAGTGGCTATTATTGTCACAAACGTGAAAGTTTTGGCTACACAGATGAATTTTGCCTAAAATATATGAATGACAACCATCCATACCTTTATGAAAGTTTAAATGTAACCATAAGAATTGGTTGCGAAGAACACATAAGCCGACCGAAAAATTTATTTCATATAACCAATTGGGTCGATGAGATTTTGGTCACTAAATAAAAATCTTAAAAATTAAATAGAATGATAATACAAAAAAAATTATATAACAAAATTGTTTAGTAACCAAATTGTAATTACTGACTCAACCCGAATGTCACTTATAAATCTAACCTAATGCACAAGTATAAATCTTAAACGGGTGCAATATAAGGCAAATATGTTTAAATATCATTTCGGGCCAGCCTATGTACCCCTACTTCGACTGTTTGAAACATTATCTAGCGACGTATAGTTTGTGAAAATATCTACAACAAATAAAACGAAGGACTCAAAAAGTAAAAGGATTGAAACTCTTGGTGAGAAGCTTCACTCGGGAGTTGTTTCCCCCTAACTAACTACCATGACCCGTGGGTTCGAATGAATCGGTGTGGGCGATTGTGGACCGCTAGGAGGAGCAACAATGGTTAGAAACCACACTGTCAATTGCTAGGCCAAGAAATGCATTATAGGCTACAAATGTAGCCCTATTGGCCCCAAGCAATTGATGGTTGACTTACCTTCTCCCTCAAACCGGGGGTTTGGACTGCTTAATCACAATTAACCTAGGTATTCAATTTGAGTTTAGAGATTTTTCCTTACATTAACCTAGATAGAAGGCATGGAATTTCCAAGAAAACCTAGCTCAATTGAGCCTCTTAAGATAATGGGGTTCCCTCTAAGCTAGGTTAGAATAGCACAATAGATTGCCAAGCACACACAATGCACAATCACCATGAAAAATACCTCAAATCTCAAATTAAAAACCACCCACACACAATCATTCAATCCACACAATTAACTACGTGGTAGAACCCAGGGTTCCACAACACCCCAAGTGAATAGGAGACTACTCCATGCTAGAAGAAGGAAGAACACAAAGGAAAACGGAAAACCCATCATTGTGATGCCTCAATCCTCCTTATGTTTGTAGAGATCATCTCTTGAAGAGAAACTTCCCAAATCTTGACTTGGAGCAAACCCTTGCTTCTTCTCCCTCTTGGTACGTGGCTTTCTCTCTCTAGATTCTTGAAGAAGAAGAAGAAGAAGAAGAAGAAGAAGAAGAAGTAGGTTTCTCTCACTTTGGGCGCTCCCTTCTTGTTTCTTTCAGCTCTCCTTTGATACATCGATCGCGCATAGTTCACGACCGTGAACTAATGGCGGAGATCATGAACTCGAAACAATTCAAGTCGTTTCATTCAGCCGGTTCACGGTACATGGCTTCAGTTCACGGTCTTGCGACCGTGGATTGGGTTGATGCTAGTAACCTCTAGAATAGCTCATGAACCCTGCCAGTTCACGGTTTATGGCTCTAGTTTACGATCCAGATGACCGTGAACTTCCTGCATGGACCGTGATCTTCGACTGCTTCCTCCTTTGGTCTGATCTTCGACTGCTTCCTCCTTTGGTCTGATCTTCGACTGCGTCCCAAAAATTCTGCTAATTCGAGGTCTAGATAGTGTTTTCATACTCAAGGTATACGGTACCCTGGATTTCACCCGGGGTACCATAGAAGCCACCATATATATATATATATATATATATAGGTTTCTTCCTCCCGCGACCCTTTACTGATAAGGGAAAGAAAGCGCCCAGCCCGCGTTAGAGGGGAAGATTAGTAAAACGAGAAAAGACAGAGGAAGGGGGAGCATCATCTTATTCTTTTTGCGAGAAGTTCCAGATAAGAAAAGCATTCGGAACGGGCTCCGCGTTCATTTCGTTGAGTTTTGTTATTTAGACAATGAATTAACCGGGGTTTGGGACATGATACTATATCCTAATACCTAATGGGTGAATCCCAATCCCCAATTCACGAACCCAAAGCATGAGATTCGTTTAATCTTAAAATGAAAATCAATGATTCTGATTCGTTGATTAAACGAATCTCATGGTTTGGGTTAGAAAATTATGGACTGGGGTTCATCCATTAGAGGTTAGGGTATAGTATCATGCCCCAAACTCTTGTAAATCATTATATAAATAGCAAAACTCTATTGGGCGTACGCCAGGGCGTACGCTAGCTGAACCATATATATATAAACATGGTTTCCGAAATTCTAGGTAACATGGGTTGACATAACATATATATGGTGTGTACTCCTCTTTGTGAAATATCTTTATCTAGACCATGAATATAAACCGAGTTTGGAGTATGATATTATAGCTTAACGCCTAATGGATAAACACTGAACCCTGATTCTCTAAACCGAAACCCAAATATCAATCTAATAAAAAAAATAATGGACGATCCTGATTTGTCAAGTACAACGAAGTCCATCCAACGACCAGATTACTTGAAGTATGATATACTCTATAAGTACGCCAATGATCATCGCATGTATATAAATATTTGAAAATCAATCCATATTCCATACACATATATATACATATAAAATGTGGTCTCGCCATTTAAAACACAAATGAAATGAAACAATGTAAGGTTACTAAGGGCATCCATATTGAAATATCATTCTCTAAATTGCATTGAGACGTACACTTATTTTCAATTTCATTATACAATTGCCATGTCAATTTTATTTTTGCAAACTTGCATCTAATGAGATCATGGGTTGCAAGTCACATAATATTATTATTATTTCAGTGATTCTGTTTTTATTATTTTATTAAAAACCAATTGCAATTGCAAGTAATTGCATTGATGTTGTGCAATAAAATTAAAATGAGTTGGATTGCACAAATTATGAGGTGGCAATATAAACAACCTATGCAATTTGTTTTTAGCCTTTTATCAGAAAATTATGATACTCCTACTGGATGGTAATAAAAAAAATTTGACTAGCAGGATTTTAAGCGAGTGGTTGCTAATCGTTAAAGTTTCTTCTTTTAAAGTTGGCTATGATCAATGAGATTTTGATCGGAGATTTGATTACTATCGATTGGCTCTAGAGTAGGGAGAAGTTTTAAGTAGATAACATGTTATAAATTATTATTATCCCAAAAATGGATCGCCGGAGCCGAATAGAAAATAAAATAGAGAAAAAAATGTAGCACTTATCTTTTTTCATACAACACATATCACATGAATTATAAGAGATAGAATAAAAAGAGGGATATGAAAGAGAGCTGTTGTTTATGTTGTGTGCTTCTACAAGTTTTCCTTTGTATAGGCATGACTCATCAGTCATGAGTAGATGCTTTGGTTATGGATCCATCCTCTCCATTGATTTGATGGTGGATAGGAAGATGGTGGTTGGACAATATATATATGGCTATGGACCTCCACTAGCTGGGTCTCATAATGATATGTTTGTTTTATATATTTCTAGGATGCTACAACTAAAATTAAAGATCAAACCCACGGTTAATATATGCAAAAAATATTTCTAAGATAATTGTTTCTGGCATATGCCTCAATTATTATGCACAAAGTCATATTTTAATAAATAATTTATAACAACCATCCGATGAAAGTGGACTAGAATGTAACGTTTTTGGGTTGTGGGGGGATTGGTACTGTAATTTTATTTATTATCCCACGAAAACAGAGTCTCGCTAATTATCTCGGCCATTGAGATGGATCGCACGTCAGAAATAGCTGGTGTACTTACATACCGTCACGTGCCTGGTGGACGATAGAATGATATATAATATAAAATTCACTGCATATTTTACTATTTCTGAAATAAGTAAGTAATATCTTTTTTGTCAGTAAATCTGTCTTACGAACTACCGCCATTGCCGACATTTTTTCAGAAACATTATCAAATAACACGAACACTATTAAACAAACACGTTCTAGTCATAAATTTTTATTTACCAGAAACGGCAACATATGATGGGAAACACAATCACAGCAGCACATAACATAAAAGTTCCATGGTAAACAAAAACACACACAAACAAACACAAAGTTCACAGTAGTAAGATGGGTTTCTAGACCTATGCAAAGGGTTAAGTGCAACTAAATTACCAACACAGATACACACCGACATACCAACTTCACTTCAGCTTCCCAACGAGCATATATACATATATTTGATCACTTGAAGAAGCCTTCAGCCATCTTGGCATACCCACCAAGAGATCCGCCTTCCGCAGGCTTCTCCTTCACCTCCTCCGCCGGAGGAGCCGCCGCCACCGCCGCCGCCGCAGCGGCATCGGTATCGGCAGGCTTGGAGCCGCTGTACTGGCGGAGATACTCCTCGGCCTTGTCAACGTACTGTCCGTAACCCTTCTCGTCCAGCTTCCCGTACTTGCCGGCGGCCTCCACAAGATCCTCCGCAGCGCCAGCCACCTTCGCCCTGTCTATGCTGTCGGACTTGCTCGACATCGCCGACTGAGCCGCCTCCGCCACCACCTTGGCGCTAGCCAGGAGCTCAGCGTTCGACGGCGCTGGTCCGCCGGCCGCCGCGTCCTTGCTGCTGTCGCCTGCCGGCGGGGCGTGTTCCTCCTTGCCGCTGACGGCCTTGGTCAGGGAAGAGAATAAACCGTCCATAGTCTCGGCCAAAGCAAAAGGGGGAAATTGTTGGAGAGATATCAGATGAATTACTAGCAATTGATGAAGAATTCTGATGGATGATGGGGATATATATATATATGGTGAATTGGTGATATATATTATTTTATTATACAATAAAATGCGAGGGCAGAGTTGGAAGATATTTTTTCTCCGCATCTTGGGTTACGTGGCCAACGCTTGTCCGTTTGTCTTGTCTATTTTACAGGTTTGTCGCTTACCGTACTTGATTAAAGGTTTGAGATAAAGTAGTAATGTGTTCTTGAAGATGCGTTGAATGAGTGTTTTTGGCGTGGGATTTCTACCCAAATCTCTCATGGTCAGGGGACTGTTTTTCTCTCTCTCGTTTTTTTTAGATGGATTTTGTTAAATTGTGAGTTTGGGCTTTTTTGTTTTTAGTGACTATGAGAGATTTTGGATATGAGTAATTTGAAAAACACAAACTTCAGATTTTGTTGTTTGAAGGGAATTGGAGAAAAAATGCTGTTTTATAAGCGAAAGTGAAAGGAATAGTGAAAGGAGAAAAATATATAGGAAATTGTGATAAATATGTTATTTTATTGATTATGTAATATTAAGTATATGTAAAAATTGCGAAAATGAATATGATGAATAACCAATTTCTACATAATCATGATCATTTTTATTATTTGTTAACATAAGTTAAATTGTTCATTTAACTTGATTTTATTTTTTCATACAAATTTGATTACCTTTATAGTACAAGATGACGTCCATTTTATAAAAAATGTAACACTCTGATCTCGTTTTACTTGAAACTTAACACACATTTACGTTCCACGTAATTGTGTAAAATAACGTTTTGCGTGACTCATGCTTATTGTTGTAATGGGGTGTATAGCTTATTGTTGTATAGTTTATTGTTGTATAGTTTTTTTTTTTATAATGTAATGGGGTGTATAGCTTATTGTTGTATAGTTTTTTTTTTTTGGGAAACACGTGATAAAAATAGTGAATTTTAGTAGGAAAGAGACATGAATGATGCAACGAATCAAAAATCAGCCTTATGAACCAAAATCAAGTACTGTTACCTTATGAACCAAAATGGTTGTAAACACGAACTCACCTATCAAACTGGTTTGGATTGAGATTTTTATTGGGTATCAGAGAACCATGTGATTATAAATTAGACTTGATCAAAACGGGCCAAAACTTAAAATTCAGCTTGTTTGACCGACCCATGCCAAACTTTAATTATTCTTTACTTTTGAACTTTCTATTTGAAAATAAAAAATAGTGAAAGAAAAGAGATGACTACAATTCGTCATTTGCACATCACCGATTCGGGAATAAAACCATAGACATTTGAAAGGAAACTAAAAATGTTTAGGATCGTTTTAATGTTAAAAAAACCAAATAGATCTTTTTGTATAGTTTTTTTACTAACAAATACCAAACTATTCCCTATAAAATACAGTATAATTTAACCATTATGATATCAAATAATTACATAATATATATTTGAAATGATAAAAATTGAACTAATTGGGTTGATCGAGGTTGAACCATTGAATAACTTTAAAATACATTATATTTTAGCCACTAAGATATAAAATAATAACTTAATATATATTATGCTAGAGAAAATAGTTTGTTTTAGAATGGCAAATCCATGATGTTCATTTGTTTTACTTGATGGTCAAATCCCGTGTAGGTCAGGCCCATTCAACTCTTTTATTTTATGGTTAGCGGTTAGCCCATTAGAATCCACGCATTAGTTTATTGTTAATTTTTTTTTCTTTTTAGCAATAAAAAGGAGTATTGTTTTTGCCTTTTCATATATATTTTAGAAATAAAAGGACTTAAAGAAAAAAATTGACACTCCTGGACCCGTTTAAATCCGCATGTGTACAGTAAGTTGGCCCGTTCCACAGAGAAAAAAGAAAAAAAATTGGCACTCCATATTCTACCCTTCCTACAAACGCTGCTAGAGTAGGGAATTTGAAATGGGGGGAGAGTTTTTTCCTCTCTACTATTATATGTTTTTAATTTAAAAGGATACAACAAATGTACTTAGTGTGATTGGTTATGATCTTTGATTTTCTTTAAAGTGGTCATGGTTCGAATCCTAGTACGTGTCTTTTTAATGAATAAAAAAAGTAATTGTGAAGACCAAAATGTCCTTCCTACTTTCATTCTCGTTGCAGCAAATTTGAAATGGAGTAACAGTTTTCTCCTTCATGTTATTATATATTGTGTAGATAGATACCATATTTTAATAAAAATAAAAAACATTCTTCCTTCCACATTTGCCGTACAACTCATGCTACCCTTCATTTCGAAAACAACGGAAAACATCTTGGGGAGTGGGCTTTCCCTCCTCCTTTTCCTTTCCCCTCCTTTTCCTTGCTTAAAAAACAGAGGGTTAAAATACGAAGGGGAAAAACTAACAGACAAGATAAAGTCACTTTTAAACGATTTTGTGTACAATTCACTAGAAGTTATATATTTGTGACTCGTCTCACCAATGGGCTCAACCAGACTTAAGCCCATATGAAGTAAGCAAGTAATAAACTAATAATGAGCTTTAAACACAAAAACAAACTCATGAAGTCAAAACCGCAGAAAGATTGCATATCAGTCTTTTGTTCAAACTCAGCGTCTTGGTAATCAACATCTTCTTCTTTCTTCTCAAGCTCTCTGGCTAACATAGTCTCATGCACACAGTTCATAAAACAGAGTAATATAATAGGGACGAAAGTAAAGGCATAATAAATAGACACACGATATTTTTTACGTGGTTTCCCGTATGCAATACGCAATACGCAATACCGACCACCCCACGATTAGAAGATGACACTGTTGTGACTTACGACGATCCACTATGTATGTTTTATATGAAGCTTCTACAAAGATGATTCTCAATGGTGATCTATCAAACCCGACTCATCTATCCAGCTACAGTATTTCCCTAACACTCTTTTCTTAACTCGAATTCTCCCCGAATTCCTCAAGACACCTTTTCTTATCAAAACACACTAGCAAACTTATTTGCTCTCTCAATTCTTTCTATCTCTCAAAAAGTGCCCTTTTCTACTACCCAGATTACGCTTTTATTCTCTCATTCTTTCTGCCCGTTAGAGTCTGCTACTTTCCTTGGGCCTTCATTTGCTTGATCATCGATTGCCCTGATTAGTAGTTCTTTACATTTTTACTCCATTGATTCATTATAATTTTCTTTCATCCTTAGCTGCCAATTGTGAAGTCGTTCGACTGGCTTCACTCAACAAAATCCCTCTTAAAATGGTAATGGCATTATATGTTGTTCACATATTCCTACATACACTTAACACACAGTTGGTGCAGCCTGCTTTTCCTGATTTTGCACATGTTTAAAAAATAACTTGGGAGGTTATTTTATTCAATGTTATTTAAAGAAAATGGCAACATTAATTAATAAATGAAAATTGTAAACACAAAGCAGACTCAATCAGACTCAAACTTCCTACTACCCAAAACCTTTCATGGAAGCTTTCCCCTACATCTAGCACTATCACCTTCAGAAAGGATATTCTGGAGGTGAGTCATAATCTAAAATGGTAGGTCAGAGCCCGAAGACGGTTCTCTAGATGCTAGGTCATGCTAACCTAGCTTCAACATTTTCAGACGCTCCTGAAAACTCAAAAGATTTTTAGGGGATCCCTCTTTTTCCTATGCTACTAGATGAATCTTCTTGAAGCTTATTTATCTCATTGTTTTCTGCATCAGCTGCAACATCCATGAGAGCTTCCGCAAGGCTAGATGACGAGTAGTGCACAACAGCTCCTACATCCACCATATCGCCCCCAGCCAATGATAGCCTTACGATGCCCGATGCTAGCATCGAGGTGATTCAAAATATGGTTCGAGCGAAGATCATCCAAGACATTGTAGAGATTGACTTTGTCTCGCAGATCAATACTTAGATGATGGAGAAATCTACAATGTAGGGCCCAAAGGAAAGCTTCCCACTATAGTTTCCATCTCCAAAATGAAGGATATGAGTGAACACAAGCGAGGCATAACTGATAGGTTGGCCTTCCTTGGCATTGGATATGATCCACAGATCAGAAGAATGCAAAACTCGTGACTAGAAAAAGGAAAAAAATCTTCTAGTGATGAAAAAGTGAAAGACTTTGAGCTAATATGTCAGGCAACCAACAGAAAGAAGATTAGGAAAGTGACAGCCGATATCAGAAGTGAAGATGTTGAGGGCCATATCATAATCAAATCCTAACTCCTCAAATCGTGCATCGAACCCATCTTGATGTCCTGAGTGTGGGAGGGAGAGTACAGTCGCAAGAAGTGGTGGAGTCACTGTTATCTTGTAGTTATAAACTGCAGTAGTGAAAAGAGAGGGCTCAGCTCATGGTCCAAGCTTGATATTGGCATAAAGCATCCTAACGGCTTGAGGACAATGACTAAATCATTGGTATACAGCCAGTGACTCCCAACCGAGGTTGCGAAGCAACAAAGGGAGATTCATTCTATATTTGGTGAAAGCTGAAGGTTGAATAGAGGGCGAGGGATAAATAGGACGGTCACAAAATCAAAGCAGATACCTGGTGTGCTCTGCTATGTTTCAGAAATCCTGGTTGTTGAAGACCAGAACAAGGTGAAGCTGAGGATTGGTGGGTGTCATGATGTGCATAACTTAAGCTAACCGGGGATGGCAGTGATAGAGTGAATGAGATAGGTGAAAATGGTGTGAGATGCTCATGTATTATATAGGATCCAAGTAACAATTGAGATAATATGATTTAGCAAGGAAGAGTTGAAGTATGGAAGGAATTGAAGTGATTCTGTAAAATCGAGACTAGACCACTTTTGGTAACTCTCGCATGGTGAAAGGAGCAAATTATAATCCAAACAGACAAGAGTTTTAAATTTCCTCAAGAGAAAATAAGCCAAGTTCTCTACGAATAGGGGGGAATTTATCAATCCCTTAGGGTTTTATGAAAATATATGCTCACAGCAGA